ACTTAATAATGTTACAATGAGACTGAATATTGTTAGTTATAAATCAGATTATATATCAACTTTAGCTGCAATTTTGACCAGTTCTTCTTGGGAGTTCAATACAGTTTTACTCAGGGGTCACTTTAGTCTATATGACGACTGCAAATGTTTCGTAAATTTTTCCCTTTTTTTATTTCTTTTTTTTCCTTTTCTTATATTAGTTCTGTGGAAAGCAAATGGAAAAACTACCACATTATCACTAATTAAGTGGAGAAACTGTTTTGGAAGAGACTGTGGACCTGTCGTCTGACAGATTACTGATGATGATGATGATGATATTAGTTCGCCTTTCATCAGAGATACCGCGCAATAGAAATACATCTTTAGGTACTATTAAATTTAAACGTTCATTTGGATCTAATTGCTTTCAGGGTCGGATTTAGAGTTGTGGGGCCCCTGTCAGTAACAACAGATGCAGGTTGACATTTCTAGTTCTCATTTCTTGCAGCATAACTAAGAATATAAACTAACGTTTCCTGATTTTAGAGCAGGAAACATCAAAGTGAAACATGTGCATTCTACATGATCATCGAAAAAGGATGCCGGAATTATAAAAAACCATTAAACATATCGACATGATTCAAGTGTCAAATTGCTAGGAAATGTCTCAAGATTTTTACTTATTCTAGTGTGCTTCGATATGCCCTCCATTTGTCCCTCAGCAGAAATCGAGACAATATTCGATCTCTTGCCCAATCCGCTGTTTCACATCTGAAGTTACCGTTGTGAGGGCTGCTGTGATCCTGTTCCGCAGGTGCCCAAAATCCTGAATCTTTTCCACATACGCAATATTCTCCACGTATCCCCACTGGAGTCCATCGGTGTAAAATCTGGGCTTCTGAGAGGTCAGAATATTGGTCTGCCCCTCTAAATGCGGGCGCTGGGGAACATCTTATTCAGCGTTTCAGCCGACAAAAGCATCTCAGCTTCGCTCGCTAAACACCATCAACTGAGCATATAGAAAACTTACGTTCTTTCGCTGTATTTTAAAACTTGAATTATTTCAATACGTTTAACAGTTTTTGAATGATAGGTTTTTATAATCCCGGCATTCTTTATCGACGACCCTGTAGTTATATTTCCTGGAGGCCCCGAATCCGGCCCTAATTACTAATCCCCTCAAAGAGGGAGTATACAAGTAAACTGCACCCATTCCCAGATGTAGCCTAAATTAATCTGTAGGACTTCAGGCTTTCACGGTTGTGACAATGAAAATCACTTTTCTGAGATGTGACACCGTGTAATCTTGTAGGTCGTTATTGACATTTAGGAGGGAAATTCTTCATCCGTCTTTAAGGTGTGCCTCGGACATTGTTAGTCCTTTGATGTGTAAACATTGCCAGCCGCCATGGTGACTGCGTGACCCCTCCCCACTGTTGTCGCGCTGCTGATGATGACAGTGGACAACGCTAGTTGCTTCACAACTTTCATCACGACCAAGCGTCGTTATACCATTCTTATTTCGCTATTCGCAACCGTTTTCAGTCGTTATCGACACATCACAACTGTTTACCAAGCGAACATCCCGTCTTACGTTAGACAGGTACAGTGTGGAGGCGGGTTCGAATACCTCCACCGTAACTCTTCGAGTCGTAGGGGGAGACGAAAAGGGAACCCAGTGGCTGGGGGTGTAACTGCGCCACCCTGTTCCTGGGGGATACAAATACGAGGACCTGGCCCTCCAGGTTGGTGCACCCTCGATTCTGGGACAGTAAAACATGGCCATATGTCCCGCGTGATTCGAACCGGAGAATGACTGCGCTGGCGAGACCCAGCAGCATTTTTAAATGATAGACCCATCCTCTCGTTAGAGAGGATGTTACATAAGGACTGTGACCGCAAGGGTTCAGTTGAAAACAATCGATGGTCTTGAGTCTCAAGGGGCTTGGCGGCAAGACGAACTGATTGGCGGTAAACCGCCAGTCGTAAAGTAACAGATTCAGATTCAAGGTATCCCACTCCGTGAACAGTATGCGTTACTCTTGGCTCTCACACCAAGCCGATCTACAGAAACTCTGCTGAATATAAAAGGCAAAGTTGTCCCTGTGCTTCAATAATTAAGTACTAAGCCATGAAGGAGTATGGGGGGGTAGATGTATAGATCCACATTTTCTTGACCTCGGCATTAGCTGGAGGTGAGTGGTCAGCTTCACGCCCCTGCCGTCTTATCCCCCGGGGAACATATTGCCTGCAAAAGATCTACTGAAATCGTAGCCTCGCGACTATGAGAACATATAGCGTACAAAGGTTCCACTGAAACCGTAGCCTCACGACTATGAGAACATATAGCGTACAAAGGATCCACTAAAGTCGTAGCCTCACGACTATGAGAATATATAGCGTACAAAGGATCCACTGAAACCGTAGCCTCACGACTATGAGAACATATAGCGTACAAAGGTTCCACTGAAACCGTAGCCTCACGACTATGAGAACATTTAGTGTACAGAGAACATGCAAGTAATTGTACTGATTACAAAAGAGCACGCCTTTCCTGCTTCCTGTGTAGCAGTGAGTTCCGACATTTCAAGGTGTAAGATCATGGATGAACAAAATACTGTCCTCGGGTCCGAGGTGGAAGAGTTTAATTGGCAATAGGGTACGTTCGGATAATAGCTTATTTACCTTACTTCCTTTATCATTGTTTCCGTGGTTATTTGTAATATAGATAGTGCTTTAATCGAAGAAAATAGCGGGGCTGTTCGATATTTTGGCCTTAATGTACGTATTCATTTGCTGTACCTAGAGCACGTGGGCACGGGAATGTCAGGTGCCGCACACTTCAGGTTCCGCTCATCATATTTAAATAAGTTTTTGAATGGGGAAAAATATCTTTTTAGATGCGTTTTAATTCAGCACCTTAACATACAGAGGAAATCCTGCGGTCTGAGCCGGGATAGCGCAGTCGGTATAGGACTGCTTACGGGCTGAACGACCGAGGAATTGGAGTTCGAGTCCCTCTAGGGTCAAGAATTTTGTCTTCACCACTTCGTCCAGACCGACTCTGGGGCACACCCAGCCTCCTATCCAATGAGTAACGGAGGTTCTTTCCAGGGGGTGACCACTTACCTTCAGCTAGTGCCGAGGTCAAGAAAGTGTGGATCTATACATCCTCTCCCCATACGCCTACATGGCGTAGTGCTTAATTAGCTAAGCACAGGGACAACGTCACCTTTACTTTTACCTACTACGAGCTACGCTAGTCACAGGAAACCATGACTTGTGACTTGGTAGTCCGATATTTCGCCTGAAGGACTGAATAAAACCACGAAAACTTCAGTCAGAAGTAGTGTCTTGGTCGAGGTTTTAACCTGATGAATATGAATCTAGAATTGCCATTACCGCAGCCTGCTCGGTATTTAGTTAGTCAGTTAGTTAGACAGTCAGTCAGTTAGTTAATAAGTTATTTTACAACCTGTCAAGAGAAATGTATTGCAGTGGTGATAATAAGTGGTATGAGTATATCACTGTATTGCATTCAGCATGTTGAGTCAAGTGATAACTCGGTAAGTGTTAGGTTCGAATTTCGACCGGGACATCCACTATCCCAACTGAGTGTTTTCGTGGTTTTACTCACTCCATCCAGGCAAGTTCTGCGATAATACCTTACATTAGGCCACGGCATCCTTCTTCCAAATCCTTTTTAATTAATTATTTACTATCGTCCAAACATTCGCTCCAATGTACAGTGGACCTCGATAATACTAGCTGATTGAAGCACCGGGTAGTTTCGGAGTGTCAATTCGTTCGGATTATTTGATTTAAAATAAACAAATCGAATGTTTTTGAAAAATCATCAATTAAAATGTATAGGCGTGTTTTGTATATAGTGAACCAAAATTCTGTAAACAGTCATACTTTTTAAATATGGTCATTAAGTGACGAGAGATTGAAAAAAAAAACTGCATAATGTGGAACTTCGTAACTTGTACTCCTAGCCAGACATAATTACAATGATGAAGTAAAGGAGGACGATATAGGTAGGGCATGTAGCACGAAGGAGGGAGAAGAAGAATGCATATAGGATATTGGTGGAAAATCTAGAAGGAAAGAAACCACTAGGAAGACCAAGACGTAGGTGGGTGGATAATGTTAGAATGAATCTTAGTGAGATAGAATGGGATGGTATGGATTGGATTGATCTGGCTCTTGTGAACACGGTAATGAACCCCCGGGTTCCACAAAATGTTGCTGCACAACTGGCGGCTTAACTCCATGGAGTTAGTTAAATGTAGACATGAATTTTCTGGCGGCACACGGAAACCGGGATAACCTCTCACCAGCCAGAGAGAGGCAGGTCTACTAACGCAGAACATGTTTCACAAGAATTAATTTTTACTGCAAGGAAGTGAAACAGTTTTATTAAATTTGTAATTTTTGAAGGTGCAGATATATTCGGCGATACTAAGTCAGTTCGGGTTAACATGGTCTCTGATTACCCAGGATTCACTGTAATCTGAGTCACTAAGTGCATTAAGTGAACTCCGAAAACTATAATAAAACATTGCAGACTAGAGTCATCCCTTATCTGGAAGGATGTGCAACAGTTTACATGTGTGGCACAGTATCTTCAGTAATATGCAATTTCATTCCGGATTTAATTTCTTCAAGGCGTTGTTAAGCTGATGTTCTGATTTCCCCCCCCCCCATTGTTTGCACCTACACAGTGTTGACCTTCACTCCTGATTCAGTTTTAGTATCGCAACCTCAATTTAGATCTCGTAGAGAGGCTGAAGATGGTCCTCCTCCCCTCAGGCCCCGTGCACGGATGAGAAAGTTGTTTCTTTGCCTAGCGCAATTCAGTCGTCTTCTGTTTGTCAGTGAGTACTGCGTTACTCCAGTCTGCATGCCTCTGCACATGCGCGCGAATGTAAGTTAGCGTTTTCTATGTGACAGATTGCTCCAGAGAGAGAAATTATTGGACGCTGACGTCTGATTTTTCCTTCAGCTACTTGTGTATCAGCGTGCGGGTAACGTACGTAATCACTAATTAAAAATAAGCACAGAATAAATTAGATTTAATTGTTATTGACTGACATCTGACGATAGCGACTGAAAACAAGATTTTTCTTTGTACGTCCTTTGCATACGGAATGTAGTGGTAACTCTGTTAACAATTCTTTGTATTCGGGAGATCACAGATTGATACCTCGACACGGAGGGAGCCAGTCCTTATTGAGGTTTCGCCTGGTTCTCCTCAGTTCCCCAAAGAAAATGCTGGGACAATACCTTAAATTAAGCCAAACCGCTTCCTTTCATATCTCTTGCAAATTATTCGCTAATCCTCCTATAATTACAAATAAAAGAGGTAAAGTTATCACTGTAACAGGCCGTGGAGGCCTCTATGGTTGTGAGACGTCGAGGCTCCCATATTTGCTAGACAATCGGCTCACAGATGGCGGTGAGGTTGTTAGCCTTACAGACCGGCCTACCTTTACTGCCAAGAAGATTCCTGGTACTCATTTCTGTTAGAAGCTAAGTCGGCCCTAAGATCATAGTGTGGATGGAAGGATTAGATCAGTTGCAAAAATGAAGTGACCTCAAAGAAATCGAACCCGAGATCTTCCAATTCTTACATTTCGTTAATGTTATTCGTCTGCTTGTTTATTTCGAAAGCTACTGGATGTATATCGATGAAACCTGGTACTGGGTGGTTCACACAAAAGTATTTTGTGCGAACTTAATTCCGACGCGTAGCCGAGAGGTTGGTCTAGAAGTAAACACAGAGAAAACTAAGTATATGTTGCAGTCTCGTCACCAAAATGCAGGGCAAAATCATGGCATAAAGATAGGAAACAGATGTTTTGAAAATGTGGCACAATTCAGATATTTGGGAACAACGATAACAGATCGAAACCTGACTCAGGAGGAAATTAAGGGGAGATCGAACTCGGGTAATGCTTGCTACCATTCAGTCCAGAAGCTTTTGTCTACTCGTCTGTTGTCTAAAAACATAAAAGTTAGAATATACAAAACTATAATTTTGCCTGTGGTTCTGTATGGGTGTGAAACTTGGTCTCTGACATTAAAGGAGGAACATAGACTAGGGTGTTTGAGAACAGGGTGTTGAGGAGAATATTTGGACCGAAGAGAGATGAAGTGACAGGAGGTTGGAGGAAACTGCACAATAAGGAGCTTCATAACTTGTACTCTTCTCTAAATATAATTAGAATGAAGAAGTCAAGGAGGATGAGGTGGGAAGGACATGTAGCACAAATGGGGGAGACGATGAATGCGTGTTGGATATTGGTGGGAAAGCCAGAAGGAAAGAGACCACGGGGAAGACCAAGGCGTAGGTGCGTGGACAATATTAAAATGGATCTTAGAGAGATATGATCTGGCTCAGGATAGGGACCAATGGATGGCTCTTGTGAACACGGTAATGAACTTTCGGGTTCCATAGAATGCTGGGAAGTTCTTGAGTAGCTGCAGAATTGACGGCTCCTTCAGAAGGGCTGAGCTCTGTGAGTAAGTATAAGCAAGCCGATCGGTTAATTATAAACCTTTAACTAACTAACTCCTTGGAGCTGGGTCATTTTTGAGAAGCCATCACTTTGTCATCCACTCAAGAACTTTCCAGAATTTGGTGGAATCCGAAGGTTCATTGCCTATCCTGAGCCATATTAATCCATCCCACAACTTCCCATCTTATATCTCTAAGATAAATTTTAATTTCATCGTCCCATCTACGTCTAGGTCTCTACATTTTAGTCATATTTTTCAAAATTTCTTATGCACTCCTCTCGCATGTGTGCATCTTGTTCTGCCCATCGTATCCATCTTGATTTCAGCATTCTAATGTCTGGCGAGAAGTGCAACTTACGAAGCTTTTCTTCAATGCATAAATTGCATAATAATTAAATCCTTCTTTAAGTTAATCTCAAGTTTAAAAAAAGTAACCCTTGGCAGAAGCAGTTCCACCACATAAGGATACCGGTATGCAGTGATACAGGGGCACACAAACGTTCACATATTAGGCGGGAATCGAAACCGCGATTTGGGTGTTCCCTTAGCCAAAGAAATTAGTAGGAACTCGCACCGGAATTGACTTAGGACATTTAATTAAGGATAAACTACTATCATGTTTATTATCCCTATTCTCTATTTTATTTTAATATGTTATATGACATTGGGAAATTCGACGTTCTCGCGGCCGAGTCCATGAAGATTCCTCCGAAACGTCAGTATCCGCCCATAAAACTACGCGTTCTCGCAGCCCAGAATAACAAAATTTTAATTATTTTAAACTCTTTCTCCCTCTCATTCTGCTCCATTTCCTTATCCTTACTATTCTTTTTTTTCTCTCCTCTTTTTTCATCTTCTTTGTTCTTCATTTCTTCCCTATGTTTTTTCTCTTCAGCTTCCCTTCTTCTCGTCATTCGTCTTCTGCAGCTCATAATCTTTCTGTCACGTCAATTCATTTATTTCCTCTTTATTCTCTATTCTTATTCCATTTCTTCCTTTGCTCTCCTTTTATAGCTAGTTCCTCTTACATTTCTCGTTTTGCTTTTTCTGTTTAAATATTCCGGTCAGCACAGTTGTGGCTTCAGTGTCTGGAAGGGCTATGCACACGCACCCATAAATCTGTTATGTACTGTAAGATATTGTGTGCTTTGTGGTACTGACCCATATTTTAGGGTGCTTCATTGTCGAAATGTCTGAGAAATGTTATCCTGTAGAGGCCTCGTTATATTCTGATCTTCCGTCCACGGAGTTCTGAATGTTGTCTCCATGATTTAGAAAATCTGTACAGTTGAGGAGAACATATTTCGAAACAGGCTGTGAAGTCCAGACGAAGTTTCAGCCCGCAATGCCTCATTTGGATCCGCTGTCCCTGAATGTGTAACTGTGTAGGTTCATAAGCACTGGACCATGTGGTAATTATGAACACCTTCTAGGCAAGTCATGATATGCAGGTCCGGGATGTCGTAACGCCTTAATTGATATTTTACGTAGAAAAAGTTCCCGTTTCTTGTTTTATATTTTCCCCCCATTGTTTGTGTGGTTAGACCTTCTTTACACTCATAATACTCGTATATAGTTAACCATAACGGGGAGGTATTCTAATTTCTTACTAGAAATAATATTTAATACATTCTGTTCGGTGTGAAAACTTGATATCTTAAACTTACGAGTATTCCCTTTTTAATTCGATCACAAAGAGGGCCGGGCTGGGGGGTCAAACAAAACAAAAAAAACTCCGTGGCCTGTAGTCCTCAGGCGAACGATACCGACCGAGCGACCGCCGCTTGTCGGCGGAGTTAGTGCCAACTTAAGCGGATAGAGGGTGTCGCGTGGTCAGCGCAACGGATGGCTGCGGGGATCGGGGTGTTCAAAATGTGGGAGCCACTACCAATAACAAAAAATTTAGGTTATGACAAATTATATATTTCTTTTCTTCTTATTTCTTATAGAAACTAAATTTTCGTGATTTTAGAGGAACAAATTTGTCAGTAAAATTTGCATATTTTTTTCTACTTTGCTGAGATCCCGGAACGACCAGGGCCGACGTTAAACATTGTCGACCGGGTCCCATTTGCATTCTGGTCGGCCCAATACAGCGCCTACCTTACATGAAGATCAGAGAGAATTTCTGTAAATTCGGTTCATTTTTCGAAATATATTGGTGGATAGCATTAACATATAGAGGCCCACATCCCATTCGTGTCTGAAAGGTAAAGCTATCCCTGTAACAGGCCGTGGAGGCCCATAGGGCTGTGAGACGTCGCGGCTCCCACATTTTCTAGACAATCGGCTCATAAATGGCGGTGAGGTCGTCAGCCTTATGCGCCGGCCACCCTTTACCCCCAGAAATATTCCTGGTACTCATTTCTGTTAGAGGCTGAGTCGACCCCAGGGCCATAGTGCGGCTGGAAGGATTAGGTCAATTGGAAAATCCAGTGACCTCATCGGGAATCGAACCCGCGACCTTCTGGCTTGTAGCATAGTGCCGCAATCAACTACAGGTATGCTACCTCTTACTCCTCCCATTCGTATTTTTTTTCCTTGGCACTGCAGCCCCAGTGGGCCTAGGCCTACCTCCATGAACTTCTCCTTTCACTTCGGCCCATTTGCATCTACTAAACTAAATTCCATAACCTGTGCCCAGCCAAGTGCCGGATAAGAGATGAAGCCCCCAAATTAAGAACCGAGGATATGATAATGTGCTTCGTGGCTAGGGCGCTCGCATCCCTCAGCGGGGTGGGTGCTATAACAAATGAGTATGGAATAATGCTGGTCTCCATTAAGGTCTATAATTCGTATCTGAACGTTTAGTTTCGTGCTTGATGAAGCACAACGAAAAGATCAATGATCCGAGTTGCGAAGAGAGATATCTGCAATAAATTACGAACTGGAGGATACGATGGAGCATAGACAATTCACGTACGTTCTGAATGCACACCTTTCTCCTCTTATTCTCACAGCCGGCTGATGGGAGGTGCGTTGTGACGTCATGTTGTGCAAGGGAAGGGAAATCCGTGCTGATGTGGGTCAGTGGGTCTCTCGGAGAGGAAAAGTGAACTGCCAGAGGAGGACGCTTGGATGACCTTCCCCTGACGTCATCACCAAACACGAGTGATTCTCTTGCTCTCTCTAAGACTCTTTGTACTTTGCTTATTTCGCAACCCTTTTCATCACCTGCAAAGAACATACGCTTGAAAACCGGTAGTTCAGTCGGTGTAGTTACTAAGTTGCGGGCCGGGCGTTCCTGACAGGAACAAAATTGTATCTCTTCTCAACAGCATCCAGACTGGCTCTGGGACCTGAAGAAGGCCTTTTCCTCAGCCCTAAATAGCTTGGGTCATGAAACTATCCACATCTCCACCTGGCTCCGAGATAGAGAGTGTCACGTGGTCAGCGCAACGGATCCCCACGGACGTTAACCTCGGTTTTCTAGCCCGGAATTTATTATTATTATTGTTATTAACAACATTAATAGCATAAAGCCATTATAGCAAGCAAAACTTCA